CCTTCTGCCTCTGTGTCCACAGGTGCCCATCCTCATCTCTCCACAGATGCCCTTCCTCATCTCCCTGTCTCTGTGTCCACAGGTGCCCATCCTCATCCTTCTGCCTCTGTGTCCACAGGTGCCCATGCTCATCCTTCTGCCTCTGTGTCCATAGGTGCCCATCCTCATCCTTCTGTGTCTGTGTCTACAGGTGCCCATCCTCATCCTTCTGTGTCTGTGTCCACAGGTGCCCATCCTCATCTCTCTGTGTCCACGGGTGCCCATCCTCACCTCTCTGCCTCTGTGTCGGCAGGCGGCTATCCTCAGCCCTCTAGCTAGTTTTGGATACTGTGTAATTATATGTATCCGGTTTCAGGGATTTTCTTAAAGTCAACTGTGGCAGATAAAGAATGAGTGTCTCTAAGGCATCTTCACTTCCCGTTTTCCTTCCTAGTGACCCTGAATAGTGAAGGCATGGATCAGTTAACATTGTAACAGCAGAGCTAAGTTTTCTGCTGAGCTGTGGACTATGTTATAACACAGTGCCATATGCTTGATCTGCTCTTAGAAATGCTCCTGTCCACTGCAGTGCGCTTGTGTTTTATTGGTTTGACTGGCTCCCTGAAGTTGTTATCTCCAGAAGCCTGACTCTGAATGATAGTGTGTCCCCCTCACCCCCAACTCCATACCCTATTTCCCAAGCTGGATATGTGATAGGCCATTTTAATAGAACATCCTCAAAGTTTTTAGATCTTTAGTAATTACTTGTCCACTTCTCTTCTTCCTATACCTCTTATAGAGTTATATATTGATGTTCCAGGACAGAACACTTCTTTTTCAATTCAATTTATTTGTTTTATAGACCCTCCTCTCATCCTGTTCCCTCCCACAACCTCCTTTCTACCCACCTCCCTGTCCACTCCTCAGAAAGGGTAAGGAGTCGACACAGTATAGCATACCAAGTTGAGGTAGAACCAGGCTCTTCCCTCCTGCATCAAGGCTGAGCGAGGCATCCCACCATAGGGAATAGATTCCAAAAAGCCAGTTCGTGCACTTTGGACAGATCCTGGTCACACTGCTAGGGGCTCTACAAACAGACCAAGCTACACAACTATCACCCACACGCAGAGGGCCTACGTTGGTCCCATGCAGGCTCCATAGCTGTCGGTCTTGAGTTCGTGAGCTCCCAGGACCTTGGGTTATCTGTCTCTGGGTTTCCCCATCATGATCTTGATGACCCTTGCTCATATAATCCCTCTTCCCTCTCTTCAGCTTGACTCCTGGAGCTTGGCCCAGTGCTTGGTTGTGGATCTATGCATCTGCTTCCATTAGTTACTAGATGAAGGTTCTTTAGTGACAATTAGGGTAGTCATTAATCTGATTACAGGAGAAGGCTAGTTAAGGCCATCTCCACTATTGCTAGGAGTCTTAGCTGGGGTCATCCTTGTGGCTTCTTGGGAGTTTCCCTGGCACCAGGTTTCTCCCTAATGGCCCCTCATCAAGATATCTCTTTCATTGCTTTCTCTCTCCCAACTGGGCCATCTAGATCCCTCGATCTGTCATGTCCCCATCCCCCCTCCCCTCCCCTCTACACAACCCCCTGTCCCCAATTTACTAAGGTGATCTCATCTATCTCCCCTTTCCAGGGAGATCCAAGCCTCCCTCTTAGGGTCTTCCTTGTTAGCTAGCTTCTCTAGGGCTGTGGATTATGGCCTGGTTATCATTTGCTTTATATCTAATATCCTCTTATGAGTGAGTACATACCATGTGTGTCTTTCTGGGTGACAGAACAGTTCTTTATTTATTGATCAATTGATTTTTGAGACAGGGTCTCATGTGGTCTAGTCTTGAAATAGATATATAGCTGAGGATGACCTTGAACTCTTGGATCTTTCACTCTTAGTACCACTTCTGGTCCGCTAAGATTACAGGTGAACACAACCACAGCTGGGGAGGAATCCTTTTTTTGTTCCATGGTTGTTCCTTCATCCAACCAGCTGGTACTTATTCCAGTATCATCTCTGCCTTAGGAGACTATTAATTCTATCACATTTTCTCGTTTTCTACAATGCTCTTGTTTCTTTGGAATCCTTTTTCATCATTTTGTCTTTACTTTTTTTACTTTCATCTTTCTCTGGTTTGTCTTTCTTTCTTTCTCTCTCTCTTTCTTTCTTTCTTTCTCTTTCTTTCTTTCTTTCTTTCTTTCTTTCTTTCTTTCTTTCTTCCTTTCTTCCTTCCTTCCTTCCTTCCTTCCTTCCTTCCTTCCTTCCTTCCTTCCTTCCTTCCTTTCTTCTCTCTCTCTTTCTTTCTTGAAAGAACCCAGTAATAACTCTTCTCCCAAAGTTGCAACCAACTTAGGAAGAAGCTGAAGAAATGTACAGATAAATTACTGGTGAAATGGTATGACGTTTTAGATTATGGCCCATGTGGCTTTCTCATCCATACACTAAGTCTTGACTTAGCTATTGGCTATCTGTTGGAACTGGGCAACTACAGACCAACCGTATAGGAGAAGGTCCCTGGCCACACTACAGAGAGGATACCTGAAGACTGCTAGCTCTTAACAAAAAGAACAAGGGTTAGTCAAAGCCTGCCTGGTCATGTCCAGCTCAGTGAGCAGGTGGAGCAAGAAGGAGTGACCAGTCTTCCTGGGTTGAAGTCCATACATGGGTAATGGTAGCATAGGAAATGCAGAGCCCTTTCCCATCAACCCTTTCCAAGGCTTGTGATTGTTCCTCATCCACCCTGTTCTCCAATGCAGCTTTTATTTCCAGCCTCTAATATTACCTGGCAGAGGTCACTGGAGGGTGGGTGGGGGAGGATTCAGTATTCCGATTTGAGCCTGCCTCTAACCCGATCTTAGTATCAGCATCTGGGACTCTTCTCTCTGTGGGTGTTCAGCTTTATGTTTTGTTCTTAGAATCCTCTTGTGGCCCACTGGCCACATGTGGTCAAGGATTGCTGTGACTAGGACCCAATATAGACTCCTAAATTTCATAGGTGACAATCTTGTGTCACAATGTCACAAAGTTGAAGACATCTCTGGGACTCGGATCTTTCCAGTGAGGTGTTGTAGCCACTGGTGTTTTGGTGGCAGGGCTTGGGATCTGATGTTTGGAACTATGGGGGCTTTTGCTGAACTTACATTTAACCCCATCTTTAACATGACCTTTCTATACACTTGAAGTCCGTGGTTTGGAACTGTTAAAACTGGAAGCAGTTACGCTTGTCTCTGAGGCTGAGCTCGAGCTCTGACTGACCCTTTCTGTCCAGACAGGGTTGAGGCCGGCATCTCACTACATTTGCCCACACTCCTTGGTAGTGTTCTGTGCAGGAACCCAAAGTGGTCACTTCTGACTCAGTTTACCACTTATTTCTGTCTTCCATGGTCTATTCAGTAGGGTCGCTATTACTTTTTTCTTGTTAGTGTTCTGTTATAATTCTTTTACTCAGATTTTAGAATTGGAGAAGGAAGAAACAGAAGTGCCTATGCTATTGTATTAAATAAAAAGTTTTATGGGTGTTAATTTTATATACTGTATTAGTCAAGGCTCTCTAGAGCAACAGAACTTATTGGATGAACCTCTATATAGAGAGAGAAAGGGGGATTTATTAGAATGACTTACAGGCTGTAGTCCAGCTAATCCAACAATGACTGGCTATGAATGAAAAATCCAAGAATCCAGTAATTGCTCAGTCCACGAGGCTGGATGTCTCAGCTGGTCTTCTGTATATGCTGGAATCCCGAAGAAGTATGCTTCCATGCCAGTGAAGGAACAGATGTGCTAGCAAGGCGACAGCAGGCAGGCAAAGAGGAAAAGCTTCCCTCTATAGGCTTCCAGCAGAAGGTGTGGCCCAGATTAAAGGCATGTGTCTTCCCGTCTCAAGATCAGGATTAGAAGTGGATCTTCCTACTTTAAATTAAGCAAAAAATCCTTCACTGATGCGCCCTCCTGTTGTTGGTTGTTTTTGCTTTTTAGGGGATCTCACCACCCAGCTCCCAAAGAAATCACACACAGAGACTTATTCTTACTTATAAATGCCTGGCCTTAGCTTGGCTTGTTGCTAGCCAACTTTTCTTTACTTAAAATTATCCTGTTCACCTTTTGCCTCCAGGCTTTTCCTTTTCTTCTGTAATCTTACTTTAACTCTTACTCGGTGGCTGGCTGGGTGGCTGGGTGGCTGGCCCCTAGCATCCTCCTCCTTGATCCCTCTTGCTCCTCTTCCTTTCCTCCTCCCAGATTTCTCCTCCTATTTATTCTCTCTGCCTGCCAGTCCCACCTGTCCTTTTTCCTGCCTCGCTATTGGCCATTCAGTTCTTTATCAGACCAATCAGGTGTTTTACACAGGCACAGTAACACAGCTTTACAGAGTTAAACAAATGTAACATAAAAGAATGCAATACATCTTTGCATCATTAAACAAATGTTCCACAGTATAAACAAATGTAAAACATCTTAAAATAATATTCTAGCCGGGCGGTGGTGGCGCACGCCTTTAATCCCAGCACTCGGGAGGCAGAGGCAGGCGGATCTCTGTGAGTTCGAGGCCAGCCTGGTCTCCAAAGCGAGTACCAGGAAAGGCGCAAAGCTACACAGAGAAACCCTGTCTCGAAAAACCAAAAAAAAAAAAAAATAATAATAATATTCTATAACACCCTCCATTCTTTGCATTTTAGTTTATTCCAGACGTAGTCACGTTGTCAACCAAGAATAGCCGCCATATATACATATGAATGTAAGAGCATTTTTAATGCTCCGTAATATATCTCTGAAGACTTGCAGGCTTGTCTTTACTGTCCACCCACTCTTACTGTTAACCAATGACCGTTTTCCCCCATCTCACATAACAACTCAGAATTTTGCTGTTACCTGTAAATAGGATCAAAATAAAAATGTGGCTCCATAGGAATGTAGATATTTGTTTTATTTTCAAAGATATATTTAATGACAATAGTAGACAGAGGAGCTGCTGCTTCAGGTGCAATGTCCTGTGGTTAATTGTGTCTGTCTGTCCTGCAGAAAGAAGGAAGGCTGCAAATCAGCCCGAAGCAGTTTCTGCTGATGAACTCAAAAGTCTGTTGGTGCTCACAAGGGATCGCTTCCTGGGTCATTTTGATGCTCTCACCCCGAAAGCGATTTTAACACAGACAGACAAAATGAAAGCTGCTGGTATGGTAAATGGTAAGTTTTTTTATTACTTTAAATTTTTTGGTGGTGGTGGTGTGTGTGTGTGTGTAGCCTTTTTAAAAAATTTTATAAGCTATATTGGCCAAGTCAAAATACATTTCACACATTTAAAGAATGATATATTTTTTAACACATGTGCATATCTGAACTCTTCTTACTTAAATGTGACAGACTTTGCTATTATCTTTCATCAAGCACGTTCAGTTTAACTGTTTTTAAGCATGCTATGGTCTTCTTATCTTCCTAAGCTGCTAGAATGGGTAGGTTTCAAAAAGTGCAGGAAGTAACCTGTGTACAGTGAATTGTGTACAGGCAGAAGCATGTGGTATGTCACTTCACAGCTGCTGCTCACTGGGGTCTGGAAGTCATCGTACTTCCCAGGGGGCTGTGGAATCATTGCTCCATTAACTGAGTTTCTGCTCTTCTCTGGAGTTGGAGGATGTGGTGAATTTGAATAAAGGGAGGCTTTCAGGCATCTAGCAAGAACACATTTAAGATTCTTTTGACACAATTTGAAACAGGACAAATATTTACTTTTATTTATTTTTTTTTAATAATTTTTTATTTAAAATTTTTTTTCCTTCCTTTTACATGCCAACCCCTGTTCCCCCTCCCTCCTTTTCTCCAGCCACCCCCCCCCATATTTGCTTTTATTTTATGGGCACTATCTTTATTGTATAGGCTAAAGAAAAATAATCACAGAATCGACTTAGCAGGGGTGTTTATTTGAGTGCCTTTTCTATGATCCTGTAGATATTCACACAAAGAAATGAACATCGTGGTCGCTGTTGGCTCTCAACCAGATTACATTGTTTGTAAAGCAGTGTGGGAAAACAGTGGGCTGTGTCTTGCTTGAGTACACACACTTGTTCAAGTCTCATTTGGGCCCTTGTGGACTGGGGTCTGGATTAGTTACTTTTCGCCTGTCTTTGATGAAATACTGGCAAAAGGCATTTGAAGAAGAGCCGGTCGGAGAGCAGTCCATTGTGGTGGGAAGACAGGAGGATGGCAGAGACACGAGGTGCCTGGTCCATTGTGTCCTCACTCAGGAAGCAGAAAGAGATGGATGCTGCTGCCCAGCTTGCTCAATTTCTGCTCAGTCCAGGATCCCAGCCCATGGCTTAGTGCCCTTCCACATTCAAGCTGAATCCTTCCTTCCTAGTTAAACCCACAGCACATCCAGACTTACATTTTTTAAGTGATGTCAAATCCAGTAGAGTAGACAATGAAGACCAACCATCACAATGTCTTCGGACAAATTACTTAACTCCACATTTGGGTTTCCTTACATTTAAAATGGCAGTAATAATTTGGCCCACTACCTGGGATTTTTGTGAGGATTAACCTGCTTCCTGGTTACAGCATGTGCTCTGGAACAAGGGTAGCAAGGGTAGCTGGCTCTGAAACCTGCTGTGTTACGTGTGGGCACATTTTGTGATCTCCCCACCTTCCCTTTCCTTCCCTTTAAATCAAGGGTGACTGTATTAGTTGCTTTTCTATTTCTGTGACAAAATACCATGACCAAGGCAATGTATAAAAGAAAGCATTTAACTGGACGTATGGTTTCAGAGGGTTAGAGTCCATAACGTGGAGGGAAGGTGTGGCAGCAGGAACATGTGAGAGTTCACATCTCAGTCCACAAACAGGAGGCAGAGAATGGTACATTGGGAATGGGACAAGTCTTTCGGAATCTCAAAGCCCACCCCCAGTGACACACCTCCTCCAACAAGGCCACACCTCCTGTTCCTTCTCAAACATTTCCACCAACTGAGGACCAAGCATTCCAGCATGTGCGCCTACAGGAACCATTCTCATTCAAACTGCCACCATGGGATAGATTGCTGTGAGGATGAATTGTTTGTTAAATTAAGTGTTACGAAGTGACTGCATATTTTGGATGAGTAAACTGTCATACATGTAGAAGACACGACTTGAACTAGTGTGGAATAGTTATGGAGCCTCACTAGAAGCCCAGGGACTTGGAGGGTTTTGAGTGGTGCTTAGCATGTGGAAGGAGAGGGGAAATAGGATTTTGCAAGGAAAAAGCGACGAATATACTAGCCATGGAGTATGAAGTCAGGAGAGAGGTTTGGCTTCCCAGAGGGTTTGCATGGGAGGTAAGAGGGAGCTGAGTGACAGGAGATGCATCTTGAGGTGACCTGGGCAAGCAAGTCTAGCTCTTAGCACTGAGCTAGAGATGTGTTTTCTCTACCTCCGAGGCCATTATGTCATTCTTTTGCTCAGACCTTGTGGATTGCTTCCATTTGCACAGACTGCGTCGTCCTCACTGTGACTTACACAAACCTTAGTTGACACCTGTAGTTTGCTTTTTCGTTGGCTGCCAGCTCACAAATAATGACATGGAGACTGCTTACTAATTATAAAAGCCTGGCCATTAGCTCAGGCTGGTCTCACTAGTTCTTACAACTTAAATTAATCCATTTATATTAATCTACATTCTGACATGACCTCTCTTCCATCTTGCACCTCCTGTTTCCTCTCTCTGTATGGCTGGCAACTCTGCCTTTCTTCTTCCCAGAGTCCTCTCTGTCCCCAGAAGTTCCACCTAACCTCTTCCTGCCTAGCTATTGGCCATTCAACTCTTTATTAAATCAATCATGGTGACACATCTTCACACAGTATAAAGAACTATTCCGCAACAGACACTTGGCCTTGTGCTTGGTCTGGTTTTCCAAATACCACATTTCTGTTTCCTTGTTACAATGGTCAGCTTAGTCCTGGGGCATGTCCCACTCTTTTGCTCCATGGCTTTACACACACATGTCCTTGGTCTAGAGTCCTTTTCTCTCAGCTCTTACCTATAGCTACTTTATGGATGTTCAGGTGTCGTTTTCTCCAAGGCTTTCCTGGGCCTTGGCCAGTTTAAACTGTTTCTGCCATACTGGTTCTCTTCAGTTTTTCTCATTTTATGTGGCATAGATTTAAATGGTGCATGATCTATCTGATTGTTACTGATATTTGTCTCCTCTGCACACCATGTTTGAAGGTACAGGGCACACTTACATGCTGTCTCCACATCTGCAGGGCCTGGCATGGACCCTGGAGGATACAGGATGTGGGAGGATATAAGATTATAGGAGCAGGATCTCCCCAAATTAGTCACTAAACAAATGAAGACTTTTAGAACCTGAACTGAAAATTGACAGGCTGCACATTGGAGTGTGACTCTTACGGATATAGTTGTGACTCTTAACATTTTTGTAGCACTGATTTGAATAAATACATCTACATGTATTATTGAATTGCATGTAAAACCAGTAAGGCCAATCAATTTCATATCCTGGCATAGTTGTACGTATTAGCAATGTAGGATGGTTTGTACTGCTTCTGCTTTTGTGGAAATTCTAGCAAGTTTAACAAAGTGACGGGCCACGATGTAGAAAATGCCATAATGTAGCCCTTTTAGTGGCTCACTGCTGAAGACTTTCCAGTGGATGTGGTGCCTGGTGTTAGACACATGGAGTCTCCACCTGGCACGTCTGGGCACATAGCAAGGCTGTATAAGTGAGTTTGTTAGGTAGACTGATCCCTTTTATTATTTCAAACATTTAGTAGTATGTTGTTTTATGAACTAGATTATACCAATGATGATGTCACTTTTTCATTGTGATTTATTCTTACTTTGGTCTGTAAGATTGTAATGGCTTAGCCTCATTAGCCACACATACTGACATTACTACCTCTCTGTTTGCTGGAATTTGTGATGTGAAGGAGGTCCCTTTCCCTGTTTTCCTAATTGTATTGGTTCTGTTTCTGGTTCCTTTTCTTGCAAAATGGTATTACAAAGAATAATTTTCTTGATCTCTCAGGGAGCCTTTTGTTACATTTTGTTTTGGGGCATGGTATAATAACCAGAGAAGCAAATAAACAAAACATTGTATTTTATTTTACTGTAAGAATTATGTTTAGTTATTACCCCAAAGTCCTGACATTTGTTAATATTTGTTCACTTTTCTTAAATATTAGACTATGTCATCGTATTTATATGTTATGTACTCAGTTAATAATTAACTTTATTGTAATAGGCAGGGACAATTTGTTGTTTGTTTTTTAAAGATAACTTGAATCCTCTTATGAACTCCAGAGTGTGCTGTGGTGCAGAACTGGTATTGATTATTTTTTGTATGTTTTTATTACAAAGCCATGTCTCCATTAAGAAATACATTGCCTCGCTATAAAGCTCATTACCCTATCAAATGGATTTCACCACTGTTAATAAGAAATGAGAAATGGTGTGTTTTGATGACGTCCAAATGTAGGTATTAGAAGATACTTTGGAACATTCAAGGTTAAATAGCTTAGTAAGAAGAGAGAAAATAAGAGATGGTCGCTCCCATTTTTATTATACTTTAGAAACACAGAACAGGTATTCTGTCAGCCGTAACTTAAGTAGTGAACATCCAGCAATTTTGAGCCATTTGTTAGAATGCTGTATAACAGTCTAAAGTTATCCTTAAAACAAGGTAAGTTTAAAATTAAAATCAATTAGTACAGTTAGTAATTTTGCAGTGTTTGTTGAAGCTAACCTTTCTTTTGAGAATGGAAGCTGGCTCTCTAGGTTTTGTTGAGTTCCAGTGTTCGGCGCAGACTCAGTGTAACTCACTGCAGCACAGTAACCAGCAAGATGGTCCTCACCTTACGTGATACTGAATTTTAGTGACTCGAGGGCATCTCTGATTAACAGATAAGTGAGAATTACTTCAGGAGTAACTTTGAGAATGTTATAAGCATATGTTAGTCATTTATTATAGGTTTGAGACTGAGGTAGTCCTTTTTTACTTACGATTCTGTTCCTGGTATGGAAATCACAGCATTATTGTGTGTCCGCTGTAGAGCGGCTTCCTTTTCTTTTGACCCACTTTCGTTAAGAATAGCTAACATGTTCTTTTGTTCCGTGTGAGCCTTAGTAGATAGACTCATTGCACTTTATCAGTAATAACTCATAGATTTTATCTGAAGAAGAAATTTTCATTTCCAACAATCTTCTCAGTGACATTTTATACAGTTCAAGTCATTAGTCAGGTCTTTAATTATGCCTCAACTGAGACCTTAGCCTTTACATACATACACACACACACACACACACACACACACACACACACACACACACACACACACTTTGTGTATACATCTATCACTATTTGTGTGTTTGTTTTTTCTGAGACAGTCTCATTACTTAGCCCAAGTTGGCCTTGAACTCAGTATAAAACCTAAGCTGGCCTCAAATTGTGATTTTCCTGCCTTAGCCTCCCAAAAGCTAAGATCATGGGTGGGTATCACCACACCCAGAGCGAACTTTATTTTGACATAGAGCATTCATTATGTTAGTTTCTTCCAATGCTGATGTATATTTTGCTCTCTTTAGATACCAGTACAACTGAACCTTGTTCTTCAAGTCTAATGAAAACCAACCCTCTGGAATGGCCAGAAAGACACGTTCTTCAGAATTTAGAAACTTTTGAAAAAACTAAACAAAAAATGAGGTAATATTTGAGTTGGTAAAAATGCATGTTCAGTATTTTCAAATGAATACTCAATATTTTAATTATTTAATGTTTCAGTAGCTTATAATCTCATTATAAAAGTAGATGCTTTCTTTAATAAGTAGCTAATCAGTAGAGTAGCATATTGATTAAAAGGGAAAGATCTCTTTTTCCATCCTCTTCCTTTTCCTCATCTTGGTACCTTCCACGTGTGTGTCACTGGTGAATACTGTGTGTCTAGCTTTATAGACATCTTCTATCAGCATACACACTTAGTTTACTTTCTTATTACTGTGGTAAAACACTGACCAAAAACAACTTGAGGAGGACAGGGTTTATTTGGCTTACACATCCAAACACAGTTGTCACCGAGGGAAGTCAAAGCAGGGACTCACGCAGCAGGAACCTGGAGTCGGGAACTGAAACAGAGGCCTTCCCATCGTGTGCTTCCCTTGCTGGCTCAGCTTGCTTTCTTATATAACCCAGCACTACCTGCCCAGAGTGGGCTGGGCCTTCTCACATCAGTCATCCATCAAGAAAATGACCCACAGGTTTACCTGCAGGCCAGTCTGATGGAGGGAACTTTTCAGACGGGGCCTCCTCTTCCCACATGAGCCTAGCCTGTGCACAGTTAACAAAAAGTTCACCAGCACACACACATGTGAATATATAAGGTGAACCATACAGGGGCGTGTAAAATGAGGTGGGGCCACTTGAAACGGTTCTGGTTTTCATCCATGTTTGTCCACGTAGTGAGTAGGTCCTCTCACAGACAGAAGTAGGTGTCCAGCAGACAGTTGTTACCTGTGGGCTTTGGCTTTGGTGCATAGTAGGCACTCAGTGTGTGATCACCGGGTTGTGGAGTACAAGCTCTCTGACATTTCTCTTTCAGTGTTTAGCACTTCTGATGTCATTTTACGACCCGCTGTAACCTTTTCTCATACTGTCCACAAGTATTGATTAAATACCAGTTGTTGGGCACTAGGGGCATACGAGGGAGATCGCCAATGCCTGTTTTCTCTGTGAGCTCCTTTTAATGGTGAGATAATCAAAAGAAACCAAGTACCCAGACATGTAAACAGTGGCATGGCTCCCGTGTCTTTAGAACGGGTGGATAGCAGGGGGTGGGGAGTGAGGGTGGAGAGTGTGGGGTTGGAGTGTGTGGGTGGGGAGTAGGGGGCTATAAGCAGGTAGTATTTGTAGTGGGGTCCTTTATCACTCTTGATTTGTGCCCATTGCCACTCTGACCCCAAGTCTGTGGCTTTCTGGAAAGGGAAACAGACATAGTCTCTTCATGAGGTTTCGCCCTGGTTGACACTGAGGTGCTTGCTGTGGCCTACCTTCTCTTGAAAGTCTCTGACCTCTGTGCCCCTCTGTTTTATTGTTCTTGTTCTTAACCCTGTTGTGGGTTTACTCTTGGGTACTTCTGCATTGTGATTTCAGTTTGATCGGAGAGTTTAATGTGTCCGCTTAGTCTGTCTTGAACCAGGAGCATGTAAGACACTCAAGGGCTGAGTCAATGTCATCTTTCTTCCTGAGTCCTTTATAAACACTCCAGCTCGGTGTTCCATTCCTTCTCTAAACAGTAAGGGCGATGTTATGACTTCCATAAAATGTGATTCTGTATTTCCTTCTGCCCTCACATCCTTGCTTCCGCCGGGAGTCCGACCTGTACAGTAACTGTGAGCCGTGACTGTGGGCTCACAAACCAGAGTGAGCCCTGTTTACTGTATTACAGTGATATTTATAAAGTAAGTGGTTTGTAAGGACTGCAGGGGTTTCAGTAGGAAGACCACATCAAATTCCTGTGTGAGAGCAAAAGATACGTTGCATGTGTTCAGAATTTTGTTCGTGTTAAAACAGACTTAACTAGAGAATCATTCTATGGTGGAAGTCAGAAGGCCCGAGAATTCGGTCTTAGACTCCCTCAACGACCTGTGTCGTGACATTTGCCGCCACATCAGAGTGGGAATAAAAATCCTAGTTTTACTTTAAAGTCGTGAAAATGTGACAAAATGCATGCAGAAAGTTGAAAGCTTAGTTGTCAGTGTTATTCTTTAACCTAAGACGTATCTGGGTGGCGCAATTCATCACAGACGGGGCTTTTAAAAGCTCTTTCGATAGCCTTGTGTTTGGATTCTATATAAATGCAAATTATACATTTCCCATTGCATCTAGCCTGTAATGTGATTGTGATTAGGACTGATTAAGGAACATTGTAAGATACTATTAAAGAAGCTACATAGAAATTAAATTAAACTCACAATGCAGTTCCTGCCCACCCAGAGTATGAAATTGAGGAAATGTTCGTGTGTTTTCTTGCTAGACTATTCTTATTAGATTTCTACAATAGGGCTACAGAGGGGAAATGGACCTGCCAGCGCGTGATGATCCTTAGTGTGTAGAAACACAGGTCTGAAACTCAATGCCAGTATTTTAATCATGGAATTATTCATAAAAATGTTGAATTTGAGTAATAAGTAAAATACAACCAAGTTGGAGCTGGCACAGTGGCTCGGGAGGGAAAGAAAGGTATTTGTTGCTTAGCCTGAGGAAATGAATTCAATCCCCACTTGGTGGAGGAGAGAACTGATGCCCACAGGTTGTCCTTGGACTTATATACACATGTACATGCACACGTGCGCGCGCGCGCGCACACACACACACTAAATAAATAAATGAATGTACAGAAGTTAACATTTTAAATTGCTATGAAGTTGATTGATTAAATTCATGTTGACATAGTGATTTTTATTTATGCTATAGTGATTTTTATTTATGCTATGGCGGCAGAACAATGAGCGGTTCAGAACCCAATGAAGCGTTTCCTGTTTCTTGAGATGAAAGTATTTTTATCCGGTTGTGTATTTATTTATTGGTTAGTTAGTTGGTGACTGGCTTGTGTAATTTTCTGGTTTATGGTAGTGACAGAGGCGGAGGTGGCTCCTAGCTGGAGTCAGTCTAGTTTTGAGCTAACGTATTCTCCATGTTACTGCCGTCTGCAGTATAACTGATGGTATGTTGCAGTCTTTAGCTGAAAAATAGGAATAATGGTGGTTTTTAGGCATGGTGTGCTGATTGCATTTTATAAAGTACTTACTAGGTGTTACTTTGTTTTGATATAAGACCCATTCCATTTTTTCAAGGAAATTTGTGAAGATTAAGAATATATTGTAGGTAAAATCATTTCGAAAATGCAAAGTCCTGCATGTATTTCAGATGTAATAATAATTCAGTGTGTATTCATGATATTGTAAGCATGACTCGAGGAGACCTTGGAGAGAATTTCCATTACAGTCTCATTTCATGGCCGTGCTTTAAGTAATCTTTTAAGTTTAGAGAAAATTGGAACATTCAGTTCTTGGTCTCCGAAATTTATATTGTGGGTTTTCAGTTTAAATTTAAACTTTATAGACTCTGTAACTTTGCACTCCTGAATTGTTAATAGATTGTATTTAATAAGGAACATAATCATGATAGGTTCTGTAGAATGGCTAAAACAGAAGCCTCAAGTTTCAGTGTGGCCTGCAGATTATTTAAAGTACAGCTCACAATGAAAGAGTCTGTAATTAGTCTTCTGTCGATGTGAAGTTCTTGACGTTTCTTTTTGTATTTGTAATGGATTTTGCTCTCATCATCATCTCCTGACTGTGGTGGATTTGAATACACCTTTAATAAAACCATACAAATTGTTTTCCCAGAGCTACTTCATTGCCTCGGTCATCTGAACGGTTGCTGGGCCATAAAGAGGGTCCCCGGGACTCCATCCCATTATTGGATGCTAAAGAACTGCTGAAATATTTCACCTCGGATGGATTACCAGTTGGAGATCTGCAACCGTTACAGATTCAAAGAGGGTGAGTTACAGACCTGTAACTTGCAACTAATTTCTAACAGTCATTTAAAAGTAGCACTGTATTTTTTCCCCTGGTGTTAATTGAAGCAGAAGACATGGGTTTGCCTGCACTGTTTATCACTAGCCTTAACCGCCTCACTTCTACATTCACCAAATGTCCTTCTGTTCTGTGACCCTGAATCTGAAGAAAACGATGATGATGAAGAGAACTCAGTAACTTAGTACATCTCCCATAGAAGTGGGGGCCAGGGCTTCGACTTTGTGTGTGCAGAAGGAAATATATTTCATTTTTTTCTTACCTTTGTTTCATTTATCCTTATTTTGAGTGTGTATTGTGTGTATGTGTGTGTGTGTGTGTGTGTGTGTGTGTGTGTGTGTGTGTGTGTGGTGTGTTGGGGGCAGGTCACAGGTGTGCCATGGTGGGGATGTGCAGGTCAGAAGACAACTTTTTGGAGTCGGTTCTCCTCTATCCTTATTCTGAGTGTGTATAATGTGTGTGTGTGGCGGGGGGGGGGGGGGGGGGGGGGGGGGGTGTCACAGGTGTGCCCCGGTGGGGACGTGCGGGTCAGAAGACAACTCTTTGGAGTTCTCCTCTGCCTCCTTTGCATGAGTCCCAAGCGTCTAGATCAGATGCTGTAGAGTGGCTTTGCCAGAAACTTACTGGCCAAGCTGTCTCTCAGGCCTGGAAATTCACTGTAAAAGATAGGTTTTGATTTGCAAATACGTATTTTTAAGTTTTTCTCTTCCGCACTACTGTCTAGTTTTGATTTTGCCACCACGTGGCATGATGGTTGTCAGTTATGACGGCTAATGGCAAAAATCATGACCTTCCTACTGAAAGAGGTGAGGAAAAAAAAAGATTGTTTTGAAAGTTCGACATTACCAAGTATGAACTGAGCATCTGCATAAATAATGTACACGGAATTGACTTCGGAGACAGTGCCCACTCAGCTGCTAGTTAACAAATGCTGCTGCTGCCGCAGTCATGGGCCACAGGATAAATAAAATTGTAGCATCGGTTTCTTGTGAAGATGGAGTAATTTGCTTACTCCCCAAATTCTTTTTCCATTGATAATCCATCATTTAAAAAAAAAAAGGACCATAAAGGTTGTATCTCACTTCAATCACTTTCACCAAGTTAGTTTTGAATCGGACTATGATAAATGTTTATCTTAAAGGTAGATTTTGGAAGTGGTTCAAGTTATTCCAGAAATGGAGTCGGGGAATTGTCGTCTTTTGTGTATGTTGTTGGGGACAAAGGGCAAAGCATCACTGGCAGCAGGGGGATCCAATGACCAGGTCATATGACTTAATGCTCCTAGTGACATAAACCTTGCATAACTTCGGAATCATTTACCTTCCCATGGCTTTGAGAGGTTGATAACCCCTTTTAGTGGGACCTCTGGAAGCAAAGCCTCACACAGTTGCTCATCTCTAGTTAATCACACTGGGGTCCTTGGTGAACCAGCCTGACTCCATTTTAAGATTAGAAGCCATCCTATTACAAGGTCAAAGTACGTTCATTCCTGTTTTCTGTAAAACTTGGGTTTGAACAGGTCTTGACCCATTTTCTAGAACTGGATACATTCCTGATAAGATAAGATGTTCTGTCAAATAATTTTGAAATGTTCTACCAAGTTTCTATGTAACCAAACACCCTTGGAAGCCCCCTAGCCTTGCAGATTTTTGGACTGTATAAACCCCACTGTCTCCTATGTTCAGAGCTATTTTCTCAAACCCCGCTTTAGGGAGATAGCCCTGTCTGATCGAATAAAGCTTGCATAATTTGACCAAGGAATTTGGGTAATGGTCTTTACCCTTGCTGGTGGAATGAACAATCCTTTCGGATAATTAGCCCCAGTGGTAGATGGATGTGCTGAGACGGCTCTGTTTACTTACCTGGGCTGTGCCCTTTGACTGCAGCAGTGCCGGCAGGTTGCAGTGTGAGGGAGATGTCCATTTAAAATTCTCTGAGAAACGTACACGGGATGTACTTAGAAAAGATGTGTTTTCATTTTGACATTGCTCTCTTATGTCACTTAGGCTGACCACAAACTCACAATATGGTCCAACTTGACCTTGAACTTGCAATCCTTCTTCCTCTGCTTCCCAAATGCTGAGACTACAGGCATATGCCACTTTGCCCAGCTCTTAGAAAACTGGACAAATGGTTCTTTGACATTAGGAAAGAAGGGCATCATTATCACTCTGTCCTCACTTAACATAGTGGTTCTCAATCTGTGGGTCATGACCCCTTTGAGGGTCAAATGACCCTTTCACAGGGGTCATCTAAGACCATTGGAAAACACAGAGATTTACATTGTGATCCATAACAGTAGCAAAATTACAGTTATGAAGTAGCAATGAAAATAATGTTATAGTGGAGGATCAGCACAATATGAGGAACTGTACTAAAGGGTCGCAGCATTAGGAAGCTTAAGAGCCTCTGACTTAGCATGAACGTTGAAAGCTGAGCTGACCTGGCTGCTCTTTCTTACCTGTGCGAGACATTACCCAGTTGCTGTGTTACATTAAAGGTAAGCCTTGCTCCTTACAGCATACCAAGGGAATACGGACACTTAACAAAACATGTTTGTTACATTTCTTCTAGAAAGACTGAGACGAGTGATATTAAGTAAAGATAATGCACTGGGCAGGATTGAAATAAGAAATGATGAAAAGAAGGGTAAAATGCTGAATACTTAAGAGTCCTGTTTTACAGATTATTCATTTGAAGGGTCTCTCATCAAAATAATGGGGTCATTGAAATTTACTAATGATACTTTTTGTGGAACACCTTAGATAGAGGTATCAGCAGATGAGAGGTTTTTTTGGACTCATTAATTGGCACGTGTTTGACATTTGAATGTGATCTTTGGTGGCAGAAGCGCAGCTCTTGTTACTGGGTCAGGAGTGGGTGGGGTGTGAGAGCAGACATATTGTCTGGTTCTCTGGACTGACCTGCCTTGCTGTTCGTGCGACTGTTTGCAGCTCTGCATTCGGGCCTGCTTCACTCTGCACGGTACTGCGGGAAGACCGCCATGCTGCAGACTTTCTTCATTTCCATGTAACTAGATCTGACGAGACCAGTGGGTCCCAACTCTTCAGGGAAGGGAGGCACGTGTCAGCAGCCTCTCTCTTCTCTAGACTCACAGGAGTCCTCCAGGTTTAGGTGTGGAAGGACTCAAGCATTCATATTTTATGAAAGCTCAACATAAAGATTAGTTCTAAAGGCCTGCTGATTGAAAAATACTTCAGAAGAACTGAATTCATCACTTAGGTGCTGATCCTTAGCATCAGTGGCAGGCTGGCCACACTTTCTGAGTTATAGTGAAAGTAAATACTCTCTTTGTTACCAAAAGACTTTATTCCTCTGTCAAAATGTTTTAAGTGAACAACTGAACATGAATTCATTTCACCAAGGGTTGGGGTGATACAGTTTAGGAATAATGTTGCTTCCAGAATTTATGTTACTGCTGTGGAATAATCCTCTTGTACACTGTAAAAATGTGTCACTTGAATTGGTTTAATAAAATGCTGATTGGCCAGTAGCCAGGCAGGAAGTATAGGCAGGGTGACCAGACTAAGAATGCTGAGAAGAGGAAGGGCGGAGTCAAGGAGTCGCCAGCCAGAAACAGAGGAAGCAAGATGAGAATTTGACACTGAGAAAAGTTACCAAGCCACATGGCTAAACATCGATAAGAATCATGGGTTAATCTAAGTGAAAGAGCTAGTCAGTAATAAGCCTGAGCTACCTACCGGCTGAGCATTTATAAGTAATATTAAGCCTCAGAGTCAATTATTTGGGAAGCAGCTACTGAATATTTGGCAGGTGGGAGAGAAACTTCCACCTGCACATTGCAAATTATTTTCCTTTCTTGATTTACTCATGCTCATAAAAATTTTGTTCAGTGAGTACCATTGTAATTTTTAAAATTGAGGCATAGAAAACAAATGGGGCAAAGGGCACAGACCTAGCCTGTTTCATTTCCTTCTTAGGTTTTTTGGTAACTCCTCCCACCTAGCAGGATCTCATTCTGTATCCCAGACTGGCCTTGAACTCACTACATAGCCCAGGCTAGACTCAAACCTATGGCAGTCCTCACACCCCCACATCCAGCTCTCTTAAATTTGATGTTTTATGTCTTAGTTAGGTTTCTAATTACTGTGATAAATTACTGACTGAAACCAACTTGGGGATGAAAGAGTTTATCTGGTTTACACTTCTGTGTCACAGTCCATCATGAAGGAACTCAGAGCAGGAACTCAAGGCAGGAACTGAGGCAGAAACCATGAAGGAGTTCTCCTTACTGACTTGTCCCCCATGGATCGCTCAACCTGCTTTCTTATACTATCTGTGAACAGGGTGGGGGTGGGGCAAGAGGATGAGAAACCCACACACACACATCAGTCATCACTCAAGAAAATGCCACCCAGGCTTGCTTACAGGCCTATCTGATGGAGATATTTTCTCAGTTGAGGTTTCCTTTTCCCAGACAACTCTTAACTCATAGCAAGTTGACAAACAAAATCAGGAGACCATAAAAAAATCTCTGTGAGATCAGATTTGTCTCCTTAGGAACTTTACCTTTCTCTGTCATGTAGTAAACCTTAAATTCAAATGAAATCCTTTTTTATTTCAGGGAAAAAACTTTGCTTCTGACACCGGAACTTAGTCCCCGGAAACTTCAGGTCTTACCTTTTGAAAAAGCCTCTGAATGCCATTACCACGGGATTGAGTAAGTGTTCATTTACACTTTTGTGTATTGGTGCTACGGCTTTTGTTGATTTCAGTGTGGAGTGCAAGTGAAATAAAATGGTATAAATTGATACAGACCCCAAAGTATGTCCTCAAAACTGTATATAATACATATTCTATTTAAGAAAAATTATTTTATTATTCATTAGTTTTGTTTCATTTAAACATCTTTTTAGTTACTCAGTATTTTTAGTAGAATTTCTTTGATCCATACATTATTAATACAAATTTTCTCTGTGGGTCACATTAATATTCCCTGGTCACTAATTATACTGTAATTGCTTAGAAACCAGTAAATGCGATGAGCTCTGAATTTAGACATGTTAACTGTGTGTACATCATTGTAATATTTCAGTTGACTGTTTATTAATTGACTATTTAATGCATGTCTGTAATGCAGATTGATTACATTTCCCTCCCTTAACTGGCTTCTTACCTCCCTCCCTCTAAATTCCTTCCCCTCAACAAACTCCCCTCCCACTGCCCCTGCTGCTCTCACCTTTCTATGTTTTATTACCACGAAGTTTAATTAGTGTTGCTTATGTGAGCACTTGTAGCAGTTATTTGAGCAACTTACCAGCGGCTACACCACTGAAGAAAATGATCCCCCACCCCCAGCAACCGTTAATTGCCAGGAGCTCCTCAGGGAGGGTGGAACCTCTGTCGTGTTGACAGGCCCAGTCTTGTGCAGCTCTTGTGCAGGCGGGCACAGCTGTGTGATTATATAAATCAAATGGCCATGTCATGTCCAGAGGACACATTTCATATCACTTGTCCCAGGCTCCAGCTTATACATTCTCTCTTTCTCTCTCTCTCTCTTTCTCTCTCTCTCTTTTGTTTTTTTTGTTTGTTTTCGAGATGCGGTTTCTCTGTGTAGCTTTGGCACCTTTCCTGGAACTCACTCTGTAGCCCAGGCTGACCTCGGACTCACAGAGATCCGCCTGCCTCTGCCTCCTGCAACCTGGGATTGAAGGCATGCACTACCACTACCCAGCTTTTACATTCTTTCTGCCTCCATTTCTAGGATGTTCCCTGGGTATTACAATAAAGGTATAGTTTAGGGCTGAGCACTCAGCAGTTGGTTCTTCTCAGCACTTTGGCCAGCTCTGAGTCTCAGTATTAACCACGGCCTACAGCAGGCAGACGGTTGGCTGAGCAAGGCTGGGAGTATAATCTGTGGGTATAAACATAAGTGTTTAGAATGCACTTCACAGCACAAAGACTGAGCAAAAAAACAGTAGGAGGTTCCTTCTAGTACCTATGACCTCTGCAGCCATTCATTTTTTTCTTTCTTTTAATTTACTCTTTGATAATTTCATGCATGCATACAATGTGTCTTCATAATATCTACTTTTCACTTCTCAAGTGTGAAAATTCCCTCACCAGTGGTTCATAGGGAGGTACCCTATATCTGACTCTGGGATTCATTAATAGCCTTGTCTTCTAGGAGCAGCAGCATCCACCCATGCAGGGTATTTCCCATTCAAACTCTTTTTAAATGAAACTTTTTACTTGGTTTGCAAAGTAGTAGGTTTCTCGCTAGCTTTTTCAGCCATCCTTAGTTTTGCTTAACATCACCCCTACATCCTTCATTTTTCCATCCCTTCTCTCCCATCCCACTTACACCTTGCCACTCCCAAGATCACTGCCGCGACTTTCACGCCATGTTCTTGTCTTTGTGGGTGCCTACTTCCAGTCCTGCTTTTCAGAAACACATTCATGGTTTTCTTTGGCTGCAGTTTTCCTTAGTGTTTACTTCTTTACTTGTAAAGGATACCTTCTGGCAATATTGTTTCTAATGTCTGCATATAAAACTACCTCTCTGCTATGAGAAATGAGGATGCCACTCCCCTTTTCTCATTGGTTTTATTGCTATTTATTTACTTATATTTCAATTTTGTTTATTTATGTAGTGTGTTATCAGGGACTATGGGGGTCCAGCCCCTCTATAGTCCCCTCCCAGGGTCCAGGAAGAATCTACAACCAGCTGATAATTAATTTTTGATGAAAAGAAATGAATCTATGTACACAAAACTTCTTAGTCCATACACTTTATTATTCTGAGTCAGTTCTCTCTCTTCACAGCTTCTATTCTGCTCTCATTTTTACCTCCTTTCTTGCCTGATTTCTCTCTACATTTATCTGCTGTCCTCTCTAGGTTCTTTCTAAATTCCTTCATCCTAGTTCTGCCTCTTCTAGGCTCTCATCCATCTTGTTTTTTCCCATATCAGCTTTCTCTCCCATCTTCTTCTCTCTCATCTTGTTCTTCCTTATCTTGTTCTTCTCTCTCATCTTGTTCTTCCTTATCTTGTTCTTCCCCATCTAGCTCTTTCTCATCTTCCATCTCGTTCCTCTAGTATTCTCGACTAGCCTTTCAATCTAGTTCTTCCCAGTCTCAGTTTTTCCTCTCAAGTTCTTACCCATCTAGTTCCTGCATTCTCTTTTCTCTTCTCCATCCTCCTTATTCTCTCAGTTCTCTACAGTCCTCCTAAGTCTCCCTGGAATCCAGTTATAAACCCAAGAAATAGCAATCCTCTGGCCAAGCAAGGTCACCAGGATTGAATTATACGGGGTCATAAGAATTTTCCTCAGGCAGTGACCACCAGGCTTTCTTTTACAACCCAAAATGGGAGTGGTAAAAGAGGAGGTCAGCTGAGTGCTAATGACTGGTTAGTGTATCAAAGAGGGGATCTCTGTCCTCAGTCTACATTTCGAGAAGTGGTTAGGAAAGAAGTTAGGGGTCTATTAGTAAGGTTGTATAAGAAAAGAGGATCTCACCCTAAATTGCACAAGAAATAAAGCTATCGGCCTGACCTAGGAGACAGGTGTTGTTTAGTTAGGCCTTGGATGTTTGATAGGCATTTTAGATAAACACACTGTTAGGAGTTCTTGGAAGCACACAAGAAAATCATTTTAGGAATGATGTATTTTATATATATACACACAAAAGCTAAAATATCACCAAGACTTCTTAAGCCATGGCTTGACCTTTGGGGAAGTCCTTGACTTTTTCAAGTAGTAGCTTTTGTGATAGTAGCTGAATTCCATTACGTTTTCCTGCAGCTTGCAGGAAAGTATGTGTGTGTGTGTGTGTGTGTGTGTGTGTGTGTGTGTGTGTGTGTGTGTGTGTGTGTGTAGTTGTGTGGCTGTGCATGCATCTGTAAAGGATATAGGATTTCTTCTTCTATTGCTCTCTTTTGTTCAGGGTCTTTAAATGAACCAAGAGTTCAATGATTTCCATCTAAGCTGGTGGCCAGCAGTGCCCTAGAGATCCTGTTTCCTTGTTTTTATCCCATCTGGAGCTGGGGTTACAGGAATACACTGCCTGTGGTAGTTTGAATGTAATTGGCTGTCATATTCTCATAGGGAGTGGCACTATTAGGAAGTGTGGCTTTGCTGTAGTGGGTGTGGCTTTGTTAGAGGAAGTGTGTCACTGTGGGGGCGGACTTTGAGATCTATGCTCAGGATACCACCCAGTGTTTGAGTCCACTTCCTGTTACCTTCTGATCAAGATGTAACCAGCACCATGTCATGCTCCCTGTCATGATGATAATGGACTGAACCTCTGAACTGTAAGCCGCCACCTCAGTTCAATGTTTTCTTCGTAAGAATTGCCGTGGTCATGGTGTCTCTTCACAGCAATGAAAACCCTAAATAAGACAATGCCGTCCTCAGCCTCTTATGCTGTGTGTTGGGAATCTGAACTCAGGTCCTTATGGATGCTTAGCAAGCACTTTTACCTACTGAACTATCTCTCCAGCTGCTGTTTGTTGTCTGTCTGTCTGCTTTGAGACAAGGTCTTACTATGTAGCCCTGGCTGGCCTGGGTTTGCTACGTAGACAAGACTGATCTTGAACTCAGAGTTCTGCCTGCTTCTGCCTGTGTAGTGCTGGGATTAAAGGTGTGAGCCACATCCTGTTCCTTATACTCTGACCACTAAGTTCTGTCTCCCTCCTTTTGTTTGATAGGTTTAGAGCCTTCTACTCTATTTTAATATTTTATTTAGTATTCCTGCATACATATATAATGATCCTAATCTATTAAAGAAACTGAAATAGGAGTTCTAGATATTTTGCATGTAACTCAGATCTGAGAGTTGAAACCAGTACTCACTGTTTATATTATCACAAGGTGTCCCTCCCGAGAAAAAGCTGAACTAGTAACATTTTCCTTGTTACTCTGACAAAATACCTCAGGAACAGGCGTTTTTTGCTTCCTTGGCCTTCTAAGCTCAGGGAAGCACTACTTTGAATAAAACAATAATAATTTTATCTAGATAGCGGGCTGGAGTGTCTGTCATATGACTGCATTGTAGATTATTGTTCCACAAGTCCTGTAATTCAGTTTTGTTTATCTTGTGCTCCATCTCCGTCTTTTCCCTTGTTGTTTTAATTTAGTATAGAAAAAATTAGTGGTGCACCTGAATTTGTAAACAAGGTTATTCATATTCATTTATTAAACTATTAAATGAATGTTTGCTTGTGCATTGGTGCCCTAAACCCTCATGATGCTTTATTTACAGTATCATGAAACACATTCATTTTATGGAGTAGTTTCCCTCTATAATCTCCCTAGTCCACAGACAGATCAAGCTAAATTCTTTTTCTTTACTGTAAATTTGTGCTTATTAAGATGGGCACATTGAGACGGAAGGAACCACTCTGTAAGAGATGGCCTCCCTTAGTCAGAAACATGGGTTTTTTGGTTTTTTTGTGGTTTTTTTTTAATTTTTTCTTTTTTTTTTTTTAATTTGCTCTGATAATTTCATGCATGCATACAATGTATCTTCATAATATCTACTTTTCACTTCCCCATTCTGAAGCTTCCCTAACCAGTGGTTCATGGGGAGGTACCCTGTATCTGGCTCTGGGATTCATTAACGTTACACTTGTTGTTTACACTTGAGTTTATAGGGTGAGGACACATACCGGTGCTCAGTATAGCTAATGGCATGGAAATAAACTTCAGAGTAGTTTGAAACTACAGAGAAACTTTTCTTCATTGCCTATATGTTGAAGATGGTATTTTTGTGTAAGTCACAAAACAAGATAGCTTATGGGTATTTTTTTCTCTTAGGACCTGGCTTAGTTTGGGTTACTGTTGCTGTGATGAAACACCATGACAAGCAAGTTGGGGAGGAAGTGGTTTATTTGGCTTATGTGTCCATCTACACAGTCCATCACTGAGGGAAGTCAGGACAGGAACTAAAACAGGGCAGGAACCTGGAGACAGGAGCTGATGCAAGAGGCCTTAGAGGGCTTGCCCACCCTGATTTCTTATAGAACACAGGACAGTCTGCCCAGGGGTGGCCCCACCCACAATGGTCTGGGCCCTCCTGCATCAGGTACTAATTAAAATGTTCTACAGGCTTGCCTACAGTCCCATCTTTTGGAGGCATTTCGCTTTTGTCAAGCTGACATAAAACTGGCCAGCACAGGACTCGTAAAACATTTAGCTATTCTTTTGTAGAAAATATGAAACAATCAATCATTTTTCCAACCATAAATATTTCCCTAACATTATATATATACACCTTGTATTTTGTGTCTCTCCTTTTTCCAAGTCACTGTGTCTTAAAGGGCATTTGAATGGTAGTACAGGGAGCACATGTAATGTACATAAGTCAACTGAAGGGCATCGGGAGCACCTGGGATTGGGAGACATCTTAGAAAGAAAACAGTGTAGTATAAAAATACCCTTATAAGCCGGGCGGTGGTGGCGCATGCCTTTAATCCCAGCACTCGGGAGGCAGAGCCAGGCGGATCTCTGTGAGTTCGAGGCCAGCCTGGGCTACCGAGTGAGTTCCAGGACAGGCGCAAAGCTACACAGAGAAACCCTGTCTTGAAAAACCAAAAAAAAAAAAAAAAATACCCTTATAATCAAGGGATACTTTTCTCTTCAAACAGTTCTATATACAGGCTAATCAAATACTGCATTGCTTCTTGTCCAAAGCCTTCTCACAAATTCAGGCTTCTTAATTTGACTTCATTTTATATCCCAGGATAGAGTGTCAGTAACCTTGGGGGGTTACTGCTGATTTTTCACAAAATAAGTTAAGCCACAGACTGGAAAAAGAAATCATGCGTTGAGATCTGTGATCTAGCCTTGCTCTTCCACCAGCCAGTCCTCTGGCTGAAGAACTGTTATCTGTTTTCTCGTAGTTCAGGTAGTTTAAATCAGAGTTCCTCCGGTCTGCACCATGCTTTAGAATCACTTAAGCAGCTTTGTATTTCAACTATACATGTGATACGTAATACAGTGTTATTGTGTATATGTACAGAGTGAAATGGTTACTGAAGTCTAGTTAATGTAGCCATCATCTCACACAGTTACCTCTGTTTTTTATGTGGAATTGCATTTAAACTCCAATATTAGCATATTTGCAAAATAGAACGCCTACTGTCATCTTCGGTCTGTACATTAGATCTTTAGATTTATTCATCCTACAGAACTCTGTCATTTTGGACCTTTGGACTGACACCACTGCTCCTCTCCTAACTGTGACCTATTTTATCATCTGTTCTGTGTATTCTTTTTCTTTTAGAATCGCTTTTAAACCCTTTTCGAAAGAGTCAGTGACCGAGTTAGTCTGTGTGTATGTATTGAGGTTTTCAGTGGGTTATAAGATGCACTTACTTATGTGTTGACTAGAGTAAGATGACCCTTACTAAGAGATGCGCTACTGAAGTGGTTACACTTAGGCTCTGCAGTCACAAACTGAGTTTAAGTTCTGATTATGCTACTTAGCCTATATAGGACTGGTGTGTGGTAAGACTCGCTGTAGTAGAAAATAAATCTGGTGATGATAGAGTCAGCCTTGTGCATTTGGTAGCTAATTTGCATGTTTCAGAGTCTGATCCAATTACACTGCTCACAAATAATCCTGATAGCGCCTCCTTCGATAAGTACTACAAATCACATTGTGCAGGTCAGGTCAGGCAGCAGCAGCATAAAGTAATTTGGCCAATCACAAAGCTAATAGGTAAAAGAACCAGGATTTAAATCCATATAAATCTATGGTCTATAGTCTTTGAAATTAAATGTGTATCCTGAGGGAAAAATAAAGTTCTGAAATCCTCATCAGGCTGTCAGGTGTCTGAGAAGTGATGTGTACTGTGAGAGATGAATTCTGGTGTTAGGGACCATGTTAGAACCTTTCAGGTGGAGAGGGCAGATGAGAGAGAAAGGTTTGAATTGTTTCTCCTTCAGCAACCCCCTGGGCGAAGGCATTTGTGCTCCTTGATGCAGTTACAGAGAGGCCAGGAAGTGGAGAGCTTTGCAAGGTCGTCCATGCTTTCCCTGTGTGTTTATTTGTTATGCTTAGCGCAGGATATTGAGTCCAGAAGCATTTGCACAGCTAATACGCCATTGATTCACTGGATTAGGTTTAACCACAAACCAGATAGGCAGGCACCCTATGTGCTGGGAAGAAAATGTGTCAGTCAGGTGAGGAGTGAATTTCAGTTAAAACCTTGAAAGTGTTCTGAGCTGTCAGGTGAGGCAGTTTCGAATTCCTTTCTACCTGTGAATCTTTGTGTTGAAAATACACTTGCCCTTGCCAGCAGAAGTCAGCATTTCCCATTGTTCCATTGGAGTCATGCTGAGAAGTTAGGGGTGGCTAGAGTTTTGAGAAGTATTACAACAACAGCCATGCTAGTTTGGAAATAATCCAAAGGATTAATTTAATCTGTTGCCACAGAACCACAGTCGAAGAGGGGTCAGCTGGTACTTCATTCACATTTGCAAATCTTTCTGTCCGATAGCAGACTAGGGAAAAGATGAGCTGCTGGAGAACTAGGCCATTCAGCCAACTCTCCAACAATTCTCGGGAAACTAACTGAGGACTTTTAAATCGGTGTCTTGCTGTTTTCTGTTAGAAGGGGAAAAAATCCTGTTGTTCTCTGGGATGTTTGAGTTTAATGCTCTTTCCTCATTTTAGATATTGCTTGGATGACCAAAAAGCTTTAGAAAGAGATGGGGGATTTTCTGAACTTCAGTCTCGTCTGATTCGTTATGAGACCCAGACCACCTGCACCAGGGACAGCTTTCCAGTCCCCACCGTGTTGAGCCCTCTTCCGTCCCCTGCCGTTCTGTCAGAGCCTCGGAGTGTCCCCGATGGAGAAGCACTACAAAGCGAGCTCCGAACTGAAGTTTCTGGATTGAAAAGGAGATCTAAAGACCCGAGTTGCCATTACCCCCAGAAAAGGTGACCTGTCACGTCACATACACAGAAACAGTATCTCCAGAGGAGTATTTTAGTCTCTGGAGGATTGCCTTTCACATTGGCCTCATATTTTTATGCTGCTTTCTGCACAGGTCTTTAGAGTCCTTCCTTTCTCCTAGGAAGTTCATTTGTATTTTGAGTAGTTAACTGTTTTTGCTTGTAAGGTATAAAAAGAAATGACGTGGAAAAAGAGAACTCTGTTGCTTTCTATGCTAATACACAATGGGACCAGAAAGCTGTTAAGTCAAGAACAGTGGAGATGTCGCCAGTAGGTGAAGGGCTCAGCTGCACCGTTTGAAGATGGTATTTGAGAGTGGAATTTCCTAACTCCCTCTCTCTGCCCTCGCTGTTCGCTGCTTGCATTGGCCCTCAAGCAAGGGCCTCCATGGCTCCACATTTAAGAACCACTTGTTATGTGTAAATATAGCCTTGAAGTCTGCAGATTAGTACATTTTATGGAACTTTTCAAGATATCTTTTTTTTTGCTAGCTAAATTAGATGTTGATAAAAATAAATACTGAATTTACAGATCTTTAGACCATGTGTCAGATTTAGGCCCTTGACATATAAAATACACTGTAAATCTTGACTATATTTAAACCTTTAAAACTAACTATAAAATATATAGAAATAAAACTTTCAAGTCTTTCTGAACAGGTGAAAATATGGGAATACTATCTCCCACTGTGGAATAGCTAAATGATTTTTATGAGAACTTTGTTAGTTCATGACATTTTTTTTTTATGTCTGATTAAGTTGCAAAGCAAAAGCGTTAAAAGGATTTATAATCAGAAAGAAAAGCATAGTGCAGCCCGAGAGGAGCAGAAGAAATGGATCTACTGTCTGTTTTGAAAAAGGAAAACACCTTTTCAAAACACCAAGGCACCATGAAAGCAAATATAAATGTTTTAGAAAAACCGAAATCAGGACCATTTTTTTATTTGTTTTCGTTACTTATTTTGCACAGGCAGTGGCAGAGATATTGTAACACAGAGGTTTGTGGTTTCTTTCTTAAAATTCCTTAATGAAAAGCATGAGTGCATATTAGGATATTAAATGTATAAAATGGAGGGTGCTCTCATACTGCTGTCCATGTTAGCTACAATTCTAGTTATCCCTTGCCGTCTGTTTTAATTACTGCCCTGGTTATTTTTCTGTTGCTCTGATAAAATACCTGGATAAAAGCGAAGTCAGGGAGAAAAGGCTTATTCCAGCTCACAGTTGAGGTCTGCAGTCCTTCCTGGCAGGGGAAGTCACGGTGGTAAAAGCTTGAGGCAGTTACACAGATCACATCCGCAATCGGAAGCAGAGAGCAGGGAATGCATCGTGCTGCTCAGCTCCCCTGGGCAGGGAGTGGCTCACCCACGGGAAGATGAGTCTTTCCACGGCAATCCGCACAGCCCTTACCCCCACAGGCATGTTCAGAGGCCAGTTCTCAGGTGAGTCAGAGTCTGTCGGGTTGACAACACAATCGCAGTGAACCCCTCACAGACCTAGAGGAACAGCTTCGTTGTTGGGTGTCAGTTATTTAATGCAAACTAGTGAGGAGTGTAGTTTTCCCGGATTTGTGTTGGGATGAAAAAAGTTGTACCATCTAAAGCACAAAGTAGACTCCACTGCTGATTCATTTTTATTTTCCCCTTCTTACAGGCTCATGAAATCAGAAAGTTCTGATGGTCTGCTTTCTCAGACAAGCTGCGGTAGTCATTACCGGCAGGCGGGGACATCCAAAAAGCCGCAGGCGGAGTGGTCTGGGTCAATGCTTCCAGTCTCTAGTCGCGAGGCTTCCAAAGTCACAGCAAAGACCAGTTCGGGACAAAAAAGTGTCCAGGTGTCCAAACCGTCAAAACAAATGAAGGAATCGCGATCACAGAAACACACTCGGGTAAAGACTTCCTGCTTTCCCAGTTCTGTGTGAAAAGAAATTTCAGTATTGGAATCTTTAAAACCACATGCCTAGCTGAAGCATAAAATAACATCCAGAATCTTAAATCATCTGGTGCAGGCAGGATGGTGAAGACCGGAGCTCAGTAGTAGGGCACTTGCCTAGCATGTGAGAGACCCTCAGTTCAGTTTTCAGTACGGCTAGGAAGGAAGGGAGATGATGAGAACGTGGGGAGGGGTATAAGTGACACACAGTAGACAGAAATTGATTATTTATTATAAAAGGTGGCCTGTCAGTGCATCAAAACGGCAATGTTACAAAAGCATCCTCTATTTTATCTTTGAAATTGTTCTCATAAGGAAAATTTCCCTGCCGTGTATACATTTCTCAGCTGTGTATAACTGACATTCAGATTTCAGGTCACAGCTCATGATTTCAGGTCCTCTCACCAGTAACTCTAAGCATTTCCTGCTGACCATGAATCCTGTGACACGGAGGACCATGTAGACGTTATGGGCTTCTTCTTTCTCAACTGCCTGGTCCAAACAGCCGTATTTATCTTGAGGGCAGGCAGATGACTCTATAGTTCACAGTTCATTTATGGTTCGACCGTGTTGAAATAGTTGCAGCCTTTCTGAGCAGTGTCAGCCACGTGTTCCTTTCTGTTGAAGATGCTGAAGGAAGTGGTGGAGGAGACCTTGCGGAAGCACCGCATCACCGAGGCCCACGAGTGCTTCTCTGCGTGCAGCCAGAGACTCTTTGACATCTCCAAGTTCTACCTAAAGGTGGGTGGGTGTCTTCTCTGTTCGTGGTGGGGTGTGGACACGTTCTGATGTTTCCGTCAGATGTAAGTGCGCAAGGAGCAGCTCTTGTATTATTAGTGTATACTCAGGCTGCTTTAAATGGAGACAGAAAGGCTGGAGTAAAACTGCTTTCCATGTTATTTATTTGGCATTATCCTTGTGTATAGAAAGCGGCTTCAGCCAGAGGCCTCAGTGTTTTTCCTAACAGGCCTTTTTCTAAGTTGGAGCTTAAGCATTAATTGGTAATTATTTTTTAATAAAGCTGTATGAGGCTGAATGGTGAGAATACTATTTTATTGTAGAAAGTAGTAAGAGGCAGCTGTTACCAGCCAGATGTAAGGAGTTGGGGTGGGCACTCAGGTGATAGTTTTCTTTATTTTTCTTTTGTGTGTTGTGTATGTGTGGTTATTGTGTTTGCGTTCAGAGGCCAAAGATAGACAGGGAGACAGAGTCTCTCACTGAACTAGACTCTTCTCATGTCGGCTCTCATGGCTAGACAGTGAGCTCCCAGGATCCTCCTGTCTCACCTCCTAACTCTGGGCTAGAGAAATACCCAACCATGCTTGGCCTTTTACATGGTGCTGAGGACTTGAACTCAGGTCCTTGTGTTTATACACATGCATTCGTTTCCACTGTGCTGTCTTCCAGCTGCTGGATGTCAGCTTTCTGAAACTTAGGTGCTGGTTGATCTTCTCTGCCTTAGACGTAACCAGCAAGCAGAAGTAGATCCCTGGTTAAAATTAGAGTGATGCATGCACTCAGTTCCTTCATTTAAATCTTCCCAAGAAAGGCAGTGTCACTAGAAAAATCAAGTGAAGAAAGAGATAAGAAAAAAACTGTCGGAAAATATCTTTCTGGTATTTTAAAACACATGAAAGCATATGCAGAGTAAATGAAGTTATAAGAAGCATACCTTGTTTCTACAATGATATTAGTGAGACTCATGCCACTTCAACCAGCAGAGTCTGAGATTCTCAGTGTCAGCAGATCCTGGAAACACTGGACACCAGAGGAAGGTGGAGGAACTCAGCAAACCCACGGAGTGATTGACCTTCCACAGTGGTCTATATGGGCTCTTTAAATGGTTCTGTGCCCACACCTCTGCAGGAAAGTCTCCAGAGCAAAGGAAATAGTGGGGTGGCAGTGAACAGCCAGCTGGTCAGCTCTCCTCTGCCTTGTGAAGCCGTCAAACTCCGCACTCGGGGCTCCTGTATTTCCAGTGTCTCTCTTTTCATTAGAGGAGGACAGCCGAGGACTAGCCAAGTCTGGATAGCTTCTGACTCAAGTGAGGCTGAAACATGAACTAAAGAGAGCTCTGGAGGAGTGGGAGGAAAGTTATAAGAACTCTAATTCTCCCAGAAGAGACTGTGCCCATAAAACCGAAACTACGTGCTACCACCAAAACCACACACAGAATACAGACTCCTTTTAATTAAACGAGTGAGGAAATCAGTTTAATAGAAGGGCAGAACAGCTGGGCTGGAAATGTTATAAAACTAAGAAGCAAAGGAGAAGAACTCTAGAGAGCAGGGAAAACTGGAGGTTTGTTCCAGAGACCCTCCACACTGATGATAGGAGCTTTGAACACAGAGACGGTGGGGGAGAAAAGTGTCAAAAGAAAGCAAATCTTTGGTTGTGGACTCATTCACCTCCTCGCTTGGGTTTATTCCTAGATACTCTATTTTCTTGGAGGCTGTTCTGAATGGTATGTCCCTGATCTCTGTATGTTTGTTGCTGATGTATAGAAAAGCTGCTGATTTGGGCAAGTAGATTCTGGATCTTGCCACGTTACTGAAATTGTTGTTTCTAGGAGGTTTCTGGTTGAGTTTTTGGAATCTTTCATGGGTAACATTATGTCATCTGCAAATAGGGACACATGGACTAATTGTCCTGTTTGTATCCCTTTAATTTCTCCTTCCTTATTATTCTGGCTGTTACTTCCAGAACAGTCTTGAAAAGGAGTGGGCATAATGGACAGTCCTGCCTTGTTCCTGAGTTCTGTGGAATTGCTTCTAGTTTCTGTCAGTTAGGGTGATATTGACTGTAGGTTTCTCTTATATCACTTTTATGGCGGAATGTTCCCTCTACCCTGCTCTCTATAACTTTTATCATGAAGGCATGTTGGATTTTGTCAAAGGCTTTTTCTGCCTCTTCTGTTTTTAAGCCCATTTATGCTGAAGCATCCCTACATCTCAAGGAAAAAAACCAACTTTATCCCTGGTGGGTGATATTTTTGATGAGTGTTTGTATTTGGGTTGCAGGTATTTTGTTGACGGTTTTTGAATCTATATTAATCAGGGACATTGACCTATAGTTTTCTTTCTTGTGTCTTCACTAGCTTTGGGTGTTAGTGACACTGACCTCGGAGAAAGAGTGTGAGAGTGATCTTTCTGGGCATCTTTTTAATAGTTTTAGAAGGTTTGGCTGTAGATCCTCTGTAAAAGTCTGGTAGAATTCTGTTGTCCATCTGTCCCAGAACTTTTTTTTTTTATAAGAAGACTTTTATTATTATTTGAATCTTCTCATGTTACAGGTCTGTTTAGGTTGTTGATCTCTTCTTAGTTTAATTTTGGTGATGAAATCTCACCAGCATGGCTGCCTAAAGATGACCCAAACAAGGAAGAGACTGATAGACATGCTACACACACACACACACACACACACACACACACACACACACACACACACACACACACACACACGAGACACAGACTCACTCACTCACTCACATATGTAACAACAATTAAAGAAAAGGAAGCCATAAGTCTAGAAGAGAAGAGGGGAGGGATTACATGGAAGGGTTGGAGGATATAAAGGAAGGGGGAGATGATGTAACTATACTGTAATCTCAATAAATAAATAATAATAATAATAAAGTTCCCAGAGCCAAGGGACATGGGCCTGTTGCTGGAAAAGACACTGCTTACCCAAGTCAATGAGTAAAAGGGGGCAGCAGCCACTGGAATGTCACACCTCCAAGCATCCAGAACATTTTCTGGGATTTCCCAAGAGAAAGGGCGATCACATATTGAAAGGATTAAGAACTAAATGGTTAAACTTCTCCATGGTATCTTAGTACATGAGAAGACAGTTTTTACTAAGACCACTTTTTACTAAACTCCATAAGTTACGAGAGAGTCGGGGAGGGGTTCTGTGGAAGGGGTTGGAGGGAGGAAAGGTTTTGAGGGCAAGTGACCTGTCTGGTATTAATCCAGAGTGACCTATCCGATATGTAATTCAGTCAGATATGAAAACTCAATAAAGACACTTTCAAACCCAGAAGAGGTTTAAAATATATCTTTCTCTTTTATGGAATCTACTAGAAAACCAAGTTGAGCACATAAAAAGCTAAATTAAGTAAAGCAAAAATTGACCTAGAATGAAGCAAACCAGTCCCAAATGGCCTGGCCTAGGCAGAAGCCAGGCAACTGGGGCAGGCTGTGGGAAGATCTGCGGGTAAGGAAAAAACAATAATGTTGGAAGTAAAAATCCACCGAAAACTGGAGGGAGAGATTATCCAGGACAAGACACTACTTTCAAAAGCTTTGTTGTATGTTTACTCAATCCATTGTGAGAGGGGAAAATACCAGAGTTATGTACGTGGAACACTGTAAGTGGGGGGAATCCCCAGTCACCAGGTAGTTTCACTACAGGAAGCGTGGAAGGCTGAATGGAAGAGACATAGGCACAACACACTAATTGCCCCGTGACTTCACTGCCTTCACTTTGATATCGTAAAGCAAACACGAGCTGTTTATGGAATATCCCAAGCTGTGGTACAGCTGTACTACAGATGAAGAAAAGGTGTGCAGAGACCTAGATCTGACCATTAACAATCCATGCTGTTTGCAGTCATTCTAAAATTACTAAATCATCAAGACCAGCAAAGCATGACAGGTGGACTCATGAAGGTAGAAACAGGAGGAATTGCTAGAAGAATTCAAAGTGGCTGCCTCTATGAGTTAGAACTTGCTTGCTAGAGGACTTGTAGCTAGAGTTTTCCTGCCTTGCTCACAGTCAGGACAAATCTTTGTCACCCACCAGTCCCACAGCCGCTCAGACGCAACCAAGTAAACACAGAGACTTATATTGCTTACAAACTATATGGCCGTGGCAGGCTTCTTGCTAACTGTTCTTATATCTTAAATTAATCCATTTTCATAAATCTATACCTTGCCACGTGGCTCGTGGCTTACCGGCATCTTCACATTCTGCTTGTTATGGTGGTGGCTGGCAGTGTCTCCTTCCGCCTTCCTGTTCTTTCTTTTCTCCTCTCTGTTAGTCCCGTCTATACTTCCTGCCTGGCCACTGGCCAATCACTGTTTTATTTATTGACCAATCAGAACAATTTGACATACAGACCATCCCACAGCAAGGACTGTATTTTTTTTCTCCTTTTTTTTTTTTTTATACAATTAAGGTTTTCTTTTTCATTTTGGGTTTTAACTTGATATGTTCTCTCCCCACCCCCCAGTCCCCCTTGCTGGGAATTGAAACCAAGACTTTGTACATGGTACACATAGTGCTCCACCACTGAGCCAAACCTCCAACCTTATTATATTTTAGAAAGTAAGACTGTAGTTTATTCCTCTTTTTGGTGGAATGAAATAGCTAAAAAGAAGGAAAAATGCATATTTATCGGAACAGTTAGTAGGAACTACATGTTCATTTCCTAAGTTCTGAAGCATCAACAGTGCAGTGGTGAGGGTGAGCGTGGGACAGCACTGTTAGGAACAGGACATGGGATGTGTGCGTGTGTTTGCTTAGAGTACTCCCACATCTCAGGACGAGACTGTATTGTTACACTGATTCTGGGTAATACTTCCCTCATTGCAGGGGCACTTGTCAAGTTATTTAAGGTCATCTCAAGCTTATTTATAACGAGCTGTCTGTGATGTGATGAACAAGGCTTCACATGCTGTGTTTTATTAATGTCTAGGATCTTAAAACCTCAAGGGGTCTCTTTGAAGAAATGAAGAAAACTGCCAACAACAACGTGGTGCAGGTAAGTAAGTCGCTTTCGAGAAGCCGTGTGCAGTTACATTGGTGTTTTGTTTTAGGGTTGCTGCTGTACTGCTGTTACACTTAGAGAGAAAAACTGAGACGGTGTTTTTAACAGCATCCCTCTGCAATGTCCTTGATATTTAACAATGGCTCAGGCAGAGTATGTAATAGCTTTGTCAAAAAAGAGTTTCTCCAAATGACATTAAAAGAGAAAAATGAAAAAAAAAAATCCAAAGGGCTAGGAAAAAAACATTCCATTTTGATTAGCTGGTTTTTTTTTTTAAATTTTTTCTTTCATTGTTATATACCAACCTCAGTTCCCTCTCCCTCCCCTTCTCCCACCCCCTCCCACCTCCCCTCATCCCATCTACAACCCCCCACAATCCACTCCTCAGAGGGGTTAAGACCTTCCATGAGACGTCCACAAAGTCTGGCATATCAAGTTGAGGCAGGACCAAGCCCCTCCACCCTGCATCAGGACTGAGCTAGGTATCCCCCCCCCCATAGGGAGTGGGCTCCAAAAAGCCAGTTCATACACTCAGGATAACTCTTGAGTGGCCCTTTCAAATGTACTTTGAAGGTAAGAAAATGGGTTGAGCTATCATCTGGTCCATTGAGGATCAGCTTTGGATGTGGGCCTCAACATGCTGTTTATTTGGAAAATAAATATCTTTAAATATAAAGGGTTTTTCTTACTTTGCATTCTTCTGTGTTATCTCTGAAGAGTTCTTTTTTAAAAAAACAGAGTTGTGGTTTAATAAAGATTTTTACTATTGGCTTAACCAGGAGGGTAAGAGAGAGGTGCTCAGGAAGGAAAGCCACACCCAGAGCTCATTTTTGAAGTTGTATGGAATTGTCTTACCATGTGTAGTTTGTGTAGAGTGATTCTACAGTCGTGTCTCTGTTTTCTTCCCCAGGTGATCGAATGGGTGTTAGAAAAGATGAGCAAGAAATAAGCTGTGACTTCTTCCATTCCATAGAAAACGGTACACAGCCTATAAACTTTACTCAAAGAGTAGATGCCACATTTGTAAAGAGGACCCCTAGTGTCCTGTGTTTATATAGTTTTAGTGATGCTCAATGAATGTATTTTTAATTAATGCACTTATTTTTACAGCTTCACAGTGTTTTTATCTTATTTTTATACATTTTAAATGTTTGAACTCTTGGTTATTTAATTGTTCAATAAACAGTACTATTTCTTTACGTCTTGGCTTGCATGTGCTTATTATTAGGCCTGCTTAAGTCTCTGCCTGTGGTGATGGAAGGAGAATGTTCCCCACAGGCTCTGGCATTGATTACTTAGTCCCCGGATGGTGGTACTGTGTACTTAAGTCCCCGGATGGTGGTGTTGTGAAGGGAGGGAGGCCCAGGAGGAAGTGTGTCACTGTAGGAAGGCTTTGAGGTTTCAAAGCCTTACACTGTTTCTAGTGTGTTCTCTGCTTCCCGATTGCAGTTTAAAATGTGAGCTCTCAGCTTCTATCCTGCCTGCCAAACCCGCTGCCTGCTGCCCTGCTCCACCATCATGGACTCTAACCCTCGGGAACCATAAACTCAAACAAATTTTTTCTTCTATAAGTTGCTGTTTTATCATAGCAAATAGGAATTAAGCAAGACACTGCCCTTCCCTTATATTCCAACAGCAAAACTTAGACTGCTCCCAACTTAGAAGTGCCAGCCCTACCAGAGGTACCATCCTAAGAAGTGGTGTTTATTTGGGAACAAAAGTGAAAAGAAAAAAGTGACAATAATTGTGAAAATAAGACTTATTGATTCTTTAGTATAAATTTTCGTGGTAGAAAGCTTGGGAGAGAGCTAGAGAGAGAGCTTTGTACTTAAGAGCACCATGTGCTCTTCTAGAGCACCCATGTTCAATCACCCCACCCATGTGGTAGTTTACAACCATTTGTAACTCCAAGGAGTCTGATGCCCTCTTCTGGTGTCCACAGGCACTGCATAGACATGGTGCATAGGTATCCATGCGTACATGTATAATAAACCTAAAAAAATATGTATTTTAAAAGAAAGTCTGGAAAAGGCAAGGAACATAAAAAAGATTTTAAAGTATCAACATCCCGCTGTCGAAATATTAACTTCTATTAATATTTTTCAGAGTTCATTTGTGATTATTTTAAAATACTTTGAAATTTCAAATCAGAAAGCACATGTTTGGCTTTGTTTGTGTATCAGTTTGTAGCCTGCGTTTCACCTAGGAGTACAGTTTTCTTCTTGTCTATGGTTTTGCTTTCGGGAGTTTCAGTTGACATTGGTCTACTACAGCCAACGTGGGAAAATGAAAAAACAGTAGTACTTGAATTGTAGACAGTGCGTTGTTCTACGTGATGAAGTAGTGTGCCATCTTGGCTTCATCCTTCCCAAGACACCAGTCACCTTTGGATATCAGTCTCACACAGTGTATGCCGTTCATCCATCTATCATTTATCAGCTCTAGGTTATCAGAGCCAGCTGCTGAGTAACAGTGCTGTGTTCAGTCAGCCGTGTTTTACTTACGAAGGCTACAGAGCACAAAATCATTGATGCTGGTGGTCTGGCTGTGCCGGAGAAGTCATATGGCACTTCCTTTCAGTAGAAAGGTAAAAGTCATCTTAATGGGGACAGGAAATGCCAAAAAGCTCCAAGGTTGCCGAGATCCATGCTGAGAACAAATCTTCTATATGTAAAAAAAGAAAAATATGCAGATTTCCTTGTTGCATTTTGTAAAAGTTATGATCAAAGTGATTGGGTGCTTAGTGGAGTTGGAAGTTACTGCTTGTATAGGAAAAGAACACAGTGTACAGAAGGGTTGATAGTATCCACTGGGCCTCTTGGAAAAATGTGCTCAGTATATTTTTCATATCCACTACATTTGCTATGAATGTAATACTACAGGACACTATTTTAAAATGATGTAATACAAGAGAACCAGAGTTTAATCCTTCATTATTGAATTTCAGTTTTTCTATAATTAAAATTTTTTAAAGCTCTTCCCAGTACATCAGTGATGGTTATTATTGAATCACGTCTTCTAAGAAGTAAAATGTATGAGTTTTCAGCGTTTTCGTATATATCTCTAAACTGTTTTCCCAAAGGATCAGCTTGCACTCATCCTGGCAGAATCCCTCGTTGCTTTCTTTGAAGACTGGAAATAGTGAAAGTGAAATTTTGGAACCATGTTAGCAAAATTTACATTATTTATATCCTACCTTTTGCCCATTGTCATTTTGAACACTCTGATGTTTGCTTGCTGGTATAGAGGAAATCTTATGTATTGAGGGTGTTGGCCTTTTTTCATTTGTTTGGTGTTCAGGACTCTTTAGCTTTTATGGATTAAGTTGTCATTTTTTTCTTTGTAGACTTTCCCACTTCTCGAAGTTTGCCTAACGTGTGTGTGTGTGCGTATGTGTGTGTGTGTGTGTGTGTGTGTGTGTGTGCGCGCGCGCGCTCTGTTTGCTCATGTGAAAACCAAACAAGACTTTCAAAAAGTGTTTGTGGGTATCCCTTGAAGCTACTAATGTGAAATTCCCCCCTTTTATCTGAACTTTGACATCAAGTTTGCAAGGAATGAGGGGATATTTTGAAGATTCTTTCTGATCAGCAAATTTGTCTTTTAGAATGTTTTATTGCAATAGGCTTTTCTGGTGTAAATGTATTAAAACAGACTAGTAGACATTTATAATGTAAAAGGGACTAGCTAGTTTCACTGAACAGCGGATTAACAGAGGCCATTTGGAAAGGTATATCTAGAAACAGTAACAGAAATAGAAATGGAAACTTTTACCGCCTCAGTTTCCTGGTCTAAAAGCAGGGAATAGTGCTGACTTACTTCATAGGCATCATGGAGGCCAATATGAATCATCATTTATTGTGGCCTCATTATGTGCCAGATATGCTAAATATTTCACATGTGTCCTGCTGCTGATGTATGAGGTAGATATTTCCTCTTGTGGATTAGAAATTGGAGGACAGTGAGATGAAGTGCAGTGTCCCATAGCTCAGAAGCCAGAGACAGACTTTGATTCTTTGAGCCATTCTTTATCCAATTTGGGGATCTCTTAAGTTGGAAGACACAGCATTTTGTTTTTCTTCTAAGGATCTTGGCTTTCTATCATTATTAATAAGATTATATGAAGCCCAACATATATAATGAATATATGCCAGTAAGTAAAATTTTAAAAATAAGCATAAGTATTAATGGTAATATAAACATTTTAAGTATATCTCCAAATTTGAGGAAAAGCTCTAAGTTGATACCACTTCTAATAATTCTTTTAAGTGAATATGTGTAGAGTTTCAGGATTTTGAATAAACTTTTGTTATGCTATTTGAAATTTGGCAAATGTAAATTATGTCAAGCTGACCAATAAAAAGCAAATGCATAAACAGTACTAAGTTGAGTTAATCATTTATTAAAAGTACTTAATATAGGCAAGTATTTTTATCAACAACCACAAAGCTGAAGGACTTACTACCTCAAGTCTTTTGGTAGTGATTGAGACATCTTGCTTAAAGGTACACCACACACCCAACTTTTCTTTGAGAAAGAAGTGTTCAGAAACACAGATCTGGAGCAATTGTATACCTGTCTTTATGGAAACATAAATGATGCACTATGAGTGACCTCACACCATATGCAAATATTCACTTAATCCATCTAGTCTATCTGTCTGTGTGGAAACATAAGTGATATACTGTGAATGACCTCACACCATATGCAAATATTCACTTAATCCGTCTAGTCTATCTGTGTGGAAACATAAGTGATGTGCTGTGAATGACCTCACACCATATGCAGATCTTCCCTTGGTCTGTATACCTGTCCTTATAGAAATAAATGATTATCAAGAATGATCGCACACCATATGCAAATATTAACAATTTGGATCACAGTCCTTTATTTAAAACCACAAAACACACAGAAGAAAATAAAAACCTTCACCTTTGGATAAAACAAGGCTTTCCTAGAAAGGACATAAAAAGTATAGACTTTAATAAATTAGAATAATAATAACATTCTATTTTAGTTCTGCTCTTGAAAATATACCGTAATCAGAGAGAAATTGTCTACAATGCACAAGAAACTCTTAGGACTTAATAATAAGATATAACCCCATTTTTTTAAATGTGCAAAAACTCAAAAAAAAAATTTTTCAAGAGAAGACACCAGAACAGAGATAAGCCAGGTAAAGGTGTTTAGCCTGATTAATCAAATACAAATTAATGCTGTAAATATCCACTAAGAGGGATGAAATTTTCAAACTGACAATACAATGTTGTAACTGTGTATCACTGTTGGAAATCTTCATGCTGTTGGTAGGAATGGAAAATGATTGACTACTTCCTATGAAGCTAAGTTTATAGTAATTATACAACCCAACAATTCTTTAACCACAAGAAAAATTAAGACATGTATGCAAGGAATCCACAATACCAGTTTGGTTCTCAATAATCCCAAATGGAATGTATTGATAAGCCCAACATTGTAAAAAAGTTTCTACAGTGAAATACTGCTTTATAACATCAAGGAATAGACCTCTGCTTCAGGCAGCAAAATGAATTATTCTAAAAATATTAATCTGAAAAGAAAATGCCAAAATATGAAATTATCAAAATGGTCACAGAAAACAAAGTAGTTTCCTGGGCCTGGATGTTGGAGTGATTGACTGGAAACAGTGATGTAAGTGTTCTAGGTCCTGACTGTGATGGTGATGCTGGTCTAAACATTGACCAAACAGCTCAGCAAATTGTTATTCTTGTACCATATAATGACAGACATGTGCAATAATGGTCCCATAAGAGTCTGTCCTTGGGTGGCATTGTAGTTTTTCATTGTGTAAATATACAGTGAGTGATAATTAAGTCACCTAACAGAACATAACCCCTGCTGTTAAGCAGTACAGGACTGCTCTTACAGACGCTGCATGGGTTTTAAGAATTCTCTTTAAATATTTAAAAATTTAAAACCCACAATTTGGATTTTAAGTATTCTCTCAGGATTTTAGCTCAGGAGAGTCAGTCTGCCTTGATTTCCTTTCTTAACTCTATTGCCTTCAGAAAATGTCTGTTCCCTATGCCCAGAAACCCTTGATTCAATATGCTTGGTTTCATTTTGTGTTTTCTATTGCATTAGTACTATCCAGCCAGTTCTTGCTCTCTTCGTTGGTTCTTTCATTCCTGTAATGACATATGTGAGGCCGAGTAACTTTACT